AAAAAGTTGTTGCATCAGCAAATCAATGAATCATCATTGTTGTCTATCTTTAATCTCGACTGATTCATCTTTGGAGAAAGGGTATTTTTGGGGGGTCAGTCTCATTGCAATTTGAGTTCACTAATTGCTGAAACATTCAGATCCCACATTTATCCCTTTCTTCTTCTTCCGTTCACAAATACTCACCATCCCGTTTCCCTTCATTATAATATTGTATGTTGTTTAAAAAATAAGATTTTGAAAGTTTGATTATACATAGTCTAAACGAAAAACATAATTACTACTTTTGACCTTTGATAACAAAAAGTAAGACTATTATTTTTCAAGAGGGAGAAGAGAGAAATCAGAGAATGGTGTCTGAATAGAATGATGGAGAGGAGTGGTGTTTAAGCCTTTGTATAGGGTAAATAAGAAGAAAATAAAATTATTAGATTTGAATCTGGTACGGGATTGAAAAGAAGAAGCGGAAATTGAGTCGAAGAAGATGACAAAAAAAAGCAGTTAGTGGAGATAGCCGAAAAACTTCATAGTTTTCTCAGTAAACGCGCTCAGCTTTGGGTGAAAGTCGCGTATGTGCCAAGCCAGAAAGTTATAAGTTTATGTATCGGCTTTAAAAATCTCGACAAGTTTAAGTGGCCAGGAAGTCATTTCGCCTAATATCTAAGAACTTTTGTAGGGGCCGAATTTATCCTTTATAGTGCTAGCTACATGTGATAAATATTCATCACTTTTAAGCTTACACTTCTTACAAAATTTGCTTTGCAACTCAAACACATTGTTTAATATATTTTAAGTAATTTTGTAAAATTATGTATTAATTGATATGGGCACGTGCACGCACAAAGCTACATCTATTTAGTATAGTATGTTAGTATGGCTTTTATTTTAGTATAATTATTTGTTATTAGAACCAATCCAAGATATAACTTACTTTTATTTTAAATATAGTTCGTATAAATCGTATAAACAACTAAATTGGTAGAACAAGATGACAATCCTTTAAAACTCTTAGCACCCTTTTAAAAAAGAATCTCAACCTTATTTAGACTTTCTAATTACTATGTATTAAGATTTCATTTACGCATTCTACTTTTTTACGTATATTAATTAATAAATTAAATCATGATATAGTATAAAAGACGATGGAAGAAACTTTCACAAGGGGGATGTGGTAGGGCTTCATCACAATATATATCAAAGAGATATTACTTATTTAATTGCAAATTCTTTTTTTTGTTATAAAATATAACCCAAAATAACAATATAGAACAAGCAAAACAAACTAAGAGATATAGAGAGAAAGAGAGGAAGAGAGCTTCTTATTTTTTCTTCAATTGTGTGTATTTTCCTATCTATTACAAGGCATTTATATAGGCATAAAAAGTAAAGAAAATATGTCATGGAATATGTCATTGAACATACAAAATATGTCATTAAGCATTTGAGACGAAGATCATGGAAGAAGAGTAGACATCCACCATAATGTGATATTTATCATAACACTCCCCCTTGGATGTCCAAAGATAATGTGTCTTATTAAAACCTTATTAGGAAAAAAATCCTATAGGGAAAAAAATCCTAGTGAAGGAAAAAGAGTACACATGTTTAGAAATACGCCTTTTGGTTACCTCGTTAAAAACCTTGTAAGGAAAACCCAGTGGGACAAAACCTCGTAAGGGAAAAAGAGTACAACGCGTATTAACTCCCCTGATGAGAGAATCAACTCACATCCTTGAGCCTTCGCATCCCAATTTTGTTTACCAGTTTCTTGAAGGTTGATGTTGGTAGAGATTTGGTGAACAAATCAGCCATATTATCACTTGAACGAATCTGTTGCACATTGATATCACCATTCTTTTGAAGATCATGTGTAAAAAATAACTTTGGTGAAATGTGCTTTGTCCTATCTCCTTTTATGAATCATCCCTTCAATTGGGCTATGCATGTTCCATTGTCTTCATACAAAATTGTGGGTAGTTTTTCACACTTCAAACCACATTTGTCTCGGATAAGATGTATTATAGACCTCAACCAAATACATTCTCGACTTACTTCATGAATAGCAATTATCTCAGCATGATTAGAAGAAGTAGCCACGATTGATTGCTTAGTCGATCGCCAAGATATGGCAGTGCCGCCACATGTAAACACATAACCTGTTTGAGATCGAGCCTTATGCGGGTCAGATAAATACCCAGCATCGGCATAACCAATAAGATCGGGATTGCAATCATTTCCATAAAATAAGCCCATATCAGTAGTCCCTTTTAGATATCGCAACATGTGTTTGATCACATTCCAGTGTCTCCTTGTAGGAGCAGAGTTATATCTTGCTAAGACATTAACCAAAAAATTTATGTCAGGCCTTGTAGTGTTAGCAAGATACATTAGTGCACCAATTGCACTAAGATATGGTACTTCAGGACCAAGAAGCTCTTCATTCTTTTCTTGAGGTCGAAACGGGTCCTTATTCACATCAAGTGATCGAACAATCATCGGAGTACTTAATGGATGTGCTCTATCCATGTAAAACCGTTTCAATACCCTTTTAATGTAGGCAGATTGATGAACAAAAATTCCATTTGTCAAATGTTCAATTTGCAAACCGAGACATAATTTTGTCTTTCCGAGATCTTTCATCTCGATTCCTTCTTTAAATAATCAATTGCCTTTTGGAGTTCTGTAGGAGTTCCAATAAGGTTTATGTCATCGACATATACGGCAAGTACAACAAATTCTGATGTTGTTTTCTTTATAAAAACACATGGACAAATGACATCATTTATATAACCCTCCTTTAATAAATATACACTAAGACGATTATACCACATTCTTCCTGATTGCTTTAGACCATACAAAGATTTTTACAATTTGATTGAAAATATTTTCCGGAACTTTGAATTCTGTGCGTTAAGTATTTTAAATCCCTCGGAAATTTTCATGTATATCTCATTATCAAGTGAGTCGTAAAGGTAGGCTGTAACTACATCCATTAAANATAACCTTCTTTGGGGACCCATCTTGATGCGATATGGGGGTGCTACAGGCACATATACAGCGCATCCAAAAGTTCTTAGATGAGATATATTAGGTTCATGACCCAAAACTAATTGCAACGGGGAATATTTGTGATAATTTGTTGGTCTGAGACGAATTAGCATTGCTGCATGTAAAATGGCGTGACCCCAAACAAAAGTGGGCAACTTCGTTTTCATGAGTAACGGTCTTGCTATCAATTGCACACGTTTAATTAAATACTCTACAAGGCCATTTTGAGTGTGAACATGAGCTACAGGATGTTCCACTTTTATCCCAATTGATAAGCAATAATCATTAAATGCTTGGGATGAAAACTCAGCAGCATTATCAAGTCTAATAGACTTAATTGGATTATCGGGAAATTGTGCCCGTAATCAGATTATTTGTGCCATTAATTTTGCAAACACGAGGTTGCGAGATGACAATAGGCATACATGACACTATCTAGAGGATGCATCTATTAAAATCATAAAATATCTAAACGACCCACTAGGTGGGCGAATAGGTCCACAAATGTCTCCTTGTATACGTTCTAAAAATGCAGGGGACTCAATCCCAACCTTTGTTGGTGATGGTCTTATAATTAACTTGCCTTGATAACAAGAAGTACAAGAAAATTCATTATTTAAAAGAATTTTCAAATTCTTTAATGGATGCCCATTTGAGTTTTCTATGATTCGTCTCATCATAATTGATCCAGGATGGCCCAATCGATCATGACAAAGTACAAAAGTATTGGAAGCAGTAACCTTTTGGTTTAAGGTGGAATGTGCCTCAATTACACTAATTTTTGTCCAATACATGCCACAAGATAAAGATGAAAATTTCTCAATAATTCTTTTCTGGCCAGAGACATTCTTGGTAACGATGAGATATTTCATATTATTCTTATCAATTGTCTCAATATGAAATCCATTTCTGCGGATATCTTTAAAACTCAACAAGTTCCTCTTGGACTTGGAGGAGAAAATTGCATTCTCAATGATAATTATTATTCCCATAGGCAGAGTTATAGTAGCTCTTCCAGAGCCTTCAATTAGATTACTACTACCAGAAATTGTAGTAATATCTGCCTTACACATACTTAAATGAGAGAAATATTTCTTCTCTTTGAATATTGTATGTGTCGTACATGAATCAATTAAGCAAATATTTTTATAATTGAACTTTGATCCAAGTTTGCTTTGAAAGATATCCATATTTGCTTCCCATAGTTTGACATACAAAAGAAGTATATGAATAAATATTAGTATTTTTAGAAAAAAATGGAAAAGAAATAAAGTTAAACCAATAATTCAATAGCAGTCTTTAATGCATTTTCTGGCAAATTCTAATTATTATACAAATAATTACGCAAAAAATAATACAAGTACACATCTGACTAATACAATTACAACAAATTTATTTACATGTATAAATTATTTGCATTTTCCTACACATTGTATGAAAAATAATTGATCCGTATAAGAAAAGAACATACTCAAAAAAAAATTGAGGGTGAAGTAACAAAAGTTGTTCCAGGGTGCTTGTAAACCTTTTCTTAAAGAGAATTAAAGCAATGTATAGGAAAGTTAAAATCGTTAAAAGATCACTGAGACTAGAATACTTATTAATAGGATATTACTCCCTGTTTGTGAAATTTATAAAATTTCGAAAATAAAAATATTCTTAAGAACTACATAAGAAGAATTATAAAGTGCAATAAAAATCACAAGATGTTTATTCATTACATACTATGAATAGAAAAGCATAAAAATTAAATTGCTCAATCATCTCTAACCACAGATCCATCACCAATCAAGTGGTTTATTTTTTTCATCAGGGTGCTTACAAAAATCTGCCACATCCAAGTGGGTGATGCCAAATTCATTGTCATATACAAGATTGGCTTCAGAGCCTTTATTCTTCAGAGATGCTTGATAAAGCTCAACCAAATATTTTGGTATGCGGCAAATTTTTGCTCAATGCTCTTTTCCACCGCAACGATAGCATTTAGTTTCTGAACCCTCTGCGTTTCGCTTCTCATCTTTACCTTTCCATTTTTGGAAGTTATTTTTCGGTGGAGGATGATTAACACCAGGAAAATTTCTTCCTTGGATATGGCCACGACCACGACCGCGACCACGACCACGAATATGGCCACGATCTTTTCCACGATTAATATAATGGGAATACACCTCATCCTCTTTAAGCAATGGTGTAGACCCAGTGGGTCGATTTTCGTGATTTCTCATAAGCAATTCATTGTGTCGTTCAGCCACAAGTAGAAGAGAAATCAACTGAGAGTACTTTGTGAAGCCTTTCTCTCGGTACTGCTGTTGTAAGACCATATTGGAGGCATGAAATGTTGTAAACGTTTTTTCAAGCATATCATAGTCATTGATATTATCTCCACAGAGTTTCAATTTGGAAGTAATTCTAAACATAGCAGAATTATATTTAGAAACAGACTTAAAGTCTTGGAGCCTAAGATGAGCCCAATCATATCGTGCTTGTGGAAGAGTGACCAACTTTAAGTTGTCATATCTTTCCTTTAAACCATTCCACAAAACAAATGGATCTTTCACTGTGAGATATTCAATTTTCAACCCTTCATTAAGGTGATGGCGCAAGAAAATCAAGGCCTTAGCACAATCTTGTGTAGATGTTTTATCTTTATCTTTAATGGCATCTCCAAGACTCATTGCATCTAAATGGATTTCAGCATCCAATACCCATGTCATATAATTCTTGCCCTAAATTTCAAGGGCAACGAACTTTCTTTTCATAATATCAGACATTTAAAAAATACAAATTTGAGAAAAATTATACCTTAATTTTCTCAAAGATCTTCTTGAGATGGTAGAGCCTCGTGCTGATAACGTGTTATAAAATATAACCCAAAATAACAATATAGAACAAGCAAAACAAACTAAGAGATATAGATAGAAAGAGAGGAAGAGAGATTCTTATTTCTTCTTCAATTGTGTGTATTTTCCTATCTATTACAAGGCCTTTATATATGCATAAAAAGTGAAGAAAATATGTCATGGAATATGTCATTGAACATACAAAATATATTGAACATACAAAATATGTCATTGAATATGTCATTAAGCATTTGAGATGAAGATCATGGAAGAAGAGTAGACATCCACCATAATGTGATATTTATCCTAACATTTTTAATGATCTAGATAAATAAAATCAATATTCATTTCTTTTAGAAATCTACACTTGTTTAATATATAGTTTATAAACTCAAACGCAATGTATTTTTTAAAATTTTATTCATTGCATTGTTGCATGGATTCATCTAACAGCCTGACAAATTCACGCCATTCCTTCTCGAGATCCTGAAAGAATTTAAAAGATTGAACCTCTTATGTTCTTCCCCTTTAGTGTGCGAATATATGCATTAACATGAAATCTTAAGGAATTAGGCTATTTGACAAAGTATAACTCCATTCTCATTTAATCAGTCAAAAGTTCACATTTCAATGCATAATAATTTACAATGTTGGGCTCCCAAAGTAGAACAACTCAGAAGTTAACGCATATCCTTTTTTTACAAATGACAAACATTAGAAATGATCCAAATTATCAGTTCACCAAACTTTCTTGGGGCCCATAAGCCCAAGAACTTCTTCCCAGAGCCCAATACTTGCAACATTAGACAGCCCAATTACACTTGGGCTACAAGCTGCTACTGTCCAATAACCAGCTTTAATCTCATCCCGCAATTGATCTCTCTCCCATGCACAATACCCATCAAAAAACCTGAAGTTTTCAAGCCCAACTACATCCCTTTTTACCATTTCAGCAGCACAGCCTACACTCTCTTTTGTACCATAATACACATTCTTCATTACTTCATCAAATACTCCACTTTTTCCAAGCCCGTCTTCTCCTCCTTCATTTGGGCTTACTAAAAAAAGCCCTTCTTCTAAAGGCCCACCAAAGAACAACGGCCTATTCGCAAAGGTCGCGGACATGTCCAATACCGAAGATCTCATTTCTTTGATTGACATAAGTGATGGCCTGTTCAGAATTAAGCCCGTTGGGCCTATTGGGCCCATTGACAATAAGAGAACTACGGTCCGCTCGAAAATGTGGACACCATCGAGCTTTTCAGTGGCAAGGAGCAAGCAACCTTTCTCTGGTTCGTGAATGGTGTGAGCCCATTTGCTACCAATTGTGACGGCCGGAGGCGGCGGAATATCGTCGACGGTGTCGGGATTGACGACGGAGGAAGGCTCTTCTGAGCGTAAAGCTTTTTCTCCGGCCACCAATCGTGCTCGAAATGATCGCCAATCAGAATCAGCAAAAGATCTTTCTTCGTCTTGAGGTGAGGATGATGAACTTGCCTGACAACCTACAAGTACAAAGTTTTCTCATCTTTTGTAGCTTACATGAACCAAAAACAGACGGCAGTTATCACAGTAGCCTATGCACAATTTTTCAACTAATGAAAAACTCCTTTTTCCAAATGATTGAAATTACCCCTAATCCCCTGAGTTATTGTTTAAAATTAGTTAAGAATAATAACTTTAATAGACTCCGCTGTTGATCGTGAGGTAATTTGAGCATCACAATTTTAATAGACTGTTTCACACAAGAAAGAGGAGACTTACAAGTCAGTGACAAAGGAGTGCCAACCTTTTTGAGCTGATGAAACTGACTAGTAACAAATAACCTTCTTCTTGTAGAATAAGAAATTCTTGATCCTAACAAAGGGAAGAGTTTCTCTGACAAGGGCTTTGAAGTGACAAAGCAAGCTTCCATATTGGTTTCAGAATTCAAAAGGATTCTGCTATAAAGAGTGAAACAGTGTTATAGTGGATATAGGATTGAAGTACAAAGAGAATTCATTGTGTTTTATATGGAGAATGTGGCTAAATGTAGACCACAGCAAGTTTTAGAGCCAATCCAGTACAAGTAGGATGCTTTTTCACTGTTGGCAGAGTGACTTTCCCAAAAGTATGGGCTAATAGATATGGCTTTACACGTAAGAAGACAGGACAACAGTTATAGGATTACACGTGTACTTATGCAGGATATTGTTTGGTTGGTATGAGTTAGAAGTGGCTAAGGTTTAATCTGCTGAAATCTGGTGCACTTTTATGAATGATGTGTTCTGGCTCTAGCCACAGAGGTCAGTATGACTACCTCTTTCTTTTCCCACTTTCTTTCTTCTTCTTTCCCGGGTTGAGTCCTAGCTACCATTTTGACATAGATTTAATTGAAATTTGAAAAAAAAAAAATTAAAATTGTGTTTGGACATATATTTTATTTGAAGAAAGTTGAAGTATGGTGAGTGGAAGAAACATTTTCACCCAAAAACTGTTTTGAAAACTTGAAACTTTTTGAATTTTTTTTCTTCCCAAAACATGATCATATTTCTTAAACAATAATGTTTTCAATTTTATTTTATTTTGAAAAAATGAAGCGAAAATCTATGACTAAGTGGGAGCATAGACTCTTGTGGTTAGGGTAGTTCAAAGATATCGAAAATTCGCACTAGCTAGAAATCAAATCAAATCAAGTTGATAATTAATTTTCTTAATTTGATACTATGTCCATGGATGGGGCGGCTTTTTAAATTGTATTCCGCCATTGAAGAAAGCAGTAAAGCTGCTTTAACAGTCTCCCACTAAAAAGCAATACCAAATCTTATTATTTGGTTCAAGTGTCAATACACATTAAAGCTCAAAAGCTTCTCCAATACAGTCACTACGACCTAAAAGATCAATTAGACAAGCATACTGCTCTAATTTATAAATAACCCCATAATCTCTCTCCATAGAATAAAAATAAGCTATCCTCCTCCACCAAACCAATATTACTCTACTACCAAAAGTTTGTGGTAGAATAGTTGAGATTCCTTCACACCAATGAAAACTTTTTGGTAAGGAGCGTTTTACTCTTTTAGTGGCTTGCTCGATGCTAATTTTAATTCCTCGGGTCTGATAGACTCCAGATACAGAATGGTCATACCCCCCTTCCCCTCCCAACCCCATATACACACGCAAGTGTACGAGTCTACATGCACAAGATACCTACCAATGTCATGTCATCAGGCACACGTCCTTCTAGTTTCATGAGAGAAATGGCGAAAAGCCGTGCCTTCTTTCCATATCCATGTAAAGCTAACCATGTATCAACATTCCAAGAAACTAATATATCTCCTCAGACCTAAATCAATCTCCCACGCTTAGCATACTCATCAATGAAGGCAATGCAAACTAGAGTATTAACCTTGCACATACACTCACAATGGGATCATACACTCAGCACTTCTTTTATCAAACTAAGCATACAAGATCAGTACAGGCAGCTAGAATACTAACAGAAGCGACAACATCAAGGCTCGAACCATCTTCCTACATTCGAATGCATTAACTCAGATGCCTCTACAATCCTTTTTTCAGTATATGCAGATATCATCTTTGTCCACGAGACCAGATTTTCAGAAGGCAACCTATCAAACAACAGCCAAGCCATCTTGCACTGTGAATTTTGATGTTACAGAGTCAGCGTATTGAACATGATAACTTTCTATTCATCTTATTTTCCTCATATTTGTTCTCATTATAGAAAGTCGGAATGGGTTGAGTGCAGAAGCAAATCAAGGATGTTAAGTCAGTGAGTTCGGAGTGCAACTGCATCCACTATTACTTCACAAGTTAGTAGCAACAGGTGCGTATTTAATATTGAATGTGTGTATTTTTCAAAACAATTGAGCTATATACATAGAGCTCAAGATACACTAACATCTACTCCCCCATGCAATATGCGGGTAATTAGTTGTATTAATCTGAACACGAATCTTCCTCAACTCTCACAAGCGTGGGTATTTGGCCACGATCAACAAAATCTATCTTGTTCAATCTAACACAACCAAGCACTTTCTCTGGCAACTCCTCTGGCTTCTGTGCCTGTGGAATGTAGTGAATACCCAATGAGCATACACCATTATAATGCCAAAAGTAAGCCAACCATTCTCAAAACTAATCAGCATCATTTTTTGTTTCTGAAAAATAAGGGGAAAATAAGAAACCTGAATTGTTAGACCAAAATCAACTATTCCATGTTGTAAACGTTCTCTAAAAGCATCAAGCCCCTTTCTAGCTATGTAGCTGAAGCGATGAATATCAAGATCAACTTCAAAGTAATTTGGGCCCTGCAATAAGAAGACACCATGCTCTTTCAGAATACTGTGGCACTTGAAAACAGCAAAGATGTTGCTAAACTGACTATAAACTAAAGTCATAGTACTGAAGTAAAAATCATTTAGAGTGTCACCTGATAAAAGTTGTGTTGAGGACGGGAAAGCACAGGCTTTTCATTGTAAGCATTCAAAAGCTTTCTTTCTGTTGCACTTGAAACAAGCTCATCTGGATTAACCAACCCAACCGTAATCTTCAATCTCTCTCTGAAAGGAACAATTGACTCCTTTGCAAATCCTTTTACCTTTTCCATGTCGTCTTCAATGAATCTCTACAACAAAAATCAGTAGCACATTTAAATGCAAAACTAATAGGGAACCAGGGCATAATGAAAGTTCTCCCATTCCCCTAGTACCACTATCAGGGCTAGATCTGTAACCAAGCATGACAAATAACTGCCAAAATTGGTTAAAACGTGAGAAAGTTTATTTTGGTTTCGCTTGTTTACTAACTTAGGAAGATTGCTACATATCAACCAGACATTTGAGCAGTTTCTTCCACTCGCATGAACACCTTTCCCAAACTTCGAGTAAAGTAGAAGGGGAAAAGGAAAACCGAAAGGAGAAGAAAAGGTGTTGTTTTTGCTTCAGAAAGATGACATAAATTACCTTGATGAAGTCTTGAAACTGGGGAGAGATGTCCTCCTCAAAACTTTCAGAAAGTTTGAAATATATAACAAGGCTCAAGCCTTCCCCATCAGCATCACCAAGGAACATTGGAGCAGGATAAGTAGGCAACTGACAAAGAAAAACAACTTTATTACTAATTAGAACAGGATGTTTTATCTAATAAAAACTCCTTTGCTTAGTTGGGAGAGACTGCTGTAATACCTGAATATTAACAATTAGTAATGGAGGTATTTTTCCATCTCCTTTTATAGAAGGAAGCTCAATGTGCTGTGCGATGTGATTGATCTTTCTAGGGCAAACAAATAAGTCGACCCCAATTGGAATATAAGGACACACATTAGGAGCAGGGCTTTTCCTCTTATCTCTGCAGATTAAATGAAAAATGTAAAGAAACATGTGTAAAATCCACTGCAAAATCTCAACAACAGTAATTAATTGACAAAGAGAAAGGTAAGTTAAGAGCGCACTTGAAATAACTATCACCACGGAGCTTAAAGTTTGAGGGCTCAATCTTTGACCAACTTCCTGCAATGAGCTTTTCTTCTGTGCAACAAGGAATTACGTGCCCAGCCCTGGGGCGGACAAGATACTTTCTTGAAGAACCTACAAGAATACCATTATATTTAAAATACTGTTAACTAGCTTTCTCAATTAGCTTTTCGACTTCTCTTTTTACACACTCCAGAACAAGAAATCTAACATGAAGGTAAATGCATCATGATCTCGAGAAGGTTTAGCTGGTGATTAGATTTTAAAAAAATAAGGGGAATAAAAATGTCATGGAACAAATTCGTATAATGGAATTCTCAAATTGGAGTCAGTTTATGCTGAAAGAATAATATACACAAATGGAAAGTGGAGGAAGTACTCACAAAATTCGTTCTTTTCTTCTCCATCAACAGACGTCCTCTTCAGAGAAAGCCTTATAATAGTTGATTTCTTTACTTGAGAATGTGGGCCTGAATTTGATGCATTAATTGTTTTGTCATTGAAACTCAATGAACTAACCAGCTTCGGTAAGACAGACTTGAACACCTTCTCCTGAGTTTTCTCCTGCAGTTTATCCTTTTTTACACCTTTAAAACTTGCATAGGCACGATCCAAATTCTTCTTCTTTTTGGTTCCAAGGTCTTCACCCTTCCCTAGCGATGGAATATAGTCTTGAGCACTTACAACTGCAAGTCCTTTTGGATCCTGAACTACATCTTTGCTCAAAACCTTCTCTGTTTTACTGCCATCTATCTTGAGATATTTCTCATGGTATTCTTTGTACTTGAGTTTGCTATCCATAAAGCATGATGAAGTTTCATACTGAAGTACTTGTCCACTTGAAATGTTGGGGAAAATATCTACAAGAAGCGAGAAGGAATAGAACGAATAAGTAATAACTTTGTCACTTGGTTCATTAAACTTAAGAAAGAAACTTTCTAACATATAGTTTGCCAATTAAACATTAATGTCGTAACATTGTCATAGATTCCTGTCAGCTTCTGATCTTCTGGAAATGATATAGATTCCATCTGCTAAAGAGCATATGATCCGTTATGAACCAATAGTGTCTCACTCCAAAATAGTTCTGATGGAATTTCCGCAAAAGATAAGAGAAGCGCTCCCCC